CTCTGCCTCTGAGGGTTTCAGTGCCACGCTTGTGTGTCACACTTCTAAAATGCTGTCGTCTCTCCCTTTCCATTACCTCAGGGACGTCTGATCTTTTTTTGCAAGACATTTGTTACTTTGTTTATTGAGACAGGGCTCCCTTGGTCGCCTTACTAATGCCCTTGTCTTAGTGTCTTATGCTGGGCTACAAGCATACACCACCAAGCCCACTTTAAACATGTGACTCTTGGCATGAGTTAGTGAAGAAATATTGGCATATAACCATCAACTCTGCCAGGCCTTGTTCTAAGGGCCTGTCTAAAAGGCAGTTGAAAGCCTAACAGAGCCTCTTGTGGTGCTTACAGCCTCACAGAGAGGAAATAAACAAATCTTATCTTATCTACCAATTGACCAAATAATTGCTCTCAGAGAACTACAGCACTAGAATTGCATTCATAGAATTTCTTCTACGTTAATTGGGAAGAAAATGCAGAGTAGGGTAGAACAAGGGGTCCCAGAAGGCCTCTTTAAGGAAGTAAAGTTTGTCCGGGGATGCGCAGGGTTAATGCCATAATGCCATTCCCACGGCAGAACGCTGCACATCGTCCCTGTGAATGGCAAGTAGAATATTCTATATATGCTTTCTATAGCAATATACCACGTGGACCAGAATGAAAATGAGCTGCGGTAGCCATTTACATATTTACACCCTCGGCAATGTTTACCATCTGCACCATTTCAAAATAACTAGGAGGGGGTTGGGATGTTTGTGAAAACACACACACAGACAGGGACACAGGGAGGGAGGGAAGGAGGGTGTGTGTGTGTGTGTGTGATAGACAGAGGGAGAGAGAAAGAGAGAGATAGGGATTTTGGTTAGCCTGATTTGATCACACTGTCCACATGTATTGAAATTTTGAAATTCCACAGGGTATAAAAATAGTATGTTCAGTCTTTACATTGTAGTTAAGTAGAGAGATCAACAGCATTTTACCTTAAAAGAAAAATCTTAAATAGTCTCTAGAACTTAGCTATGTTAAACGGGAAAGGCTGACAAACTGGGACAGGGTTTCCTCCCAACTTTATGAAATAGTCACGGGGTTTCAACACATCACAGTGTCTATACAGTTCAGGGCTGTCTGAGGGAAGACATTGCTTTTCTTATGATTTCTATTGCTGAAAGAATCTGTTTCAGTTTACAACTCTCTGGTCACACTCCATTGCTGAGGGAAGTCAGGGCAGGGACCTGGAGGTGGGAGCTGATACAGAGGCCGTGGAGGGGTGCTGCGTACTGTACTGGCTTGCTCCCCATGACTTACTCAGCTGCTTTCCTGTAGAGCCCAGCACCACCACCCTAGAGGTGGCACTGCCCACATCAACCATCACTTTTAAAGCACATACTACAGGCTGGCCCACAGGCCAGTCATACCAAAATGACTCTAGCATGTTGTCAAATTGATGTAAACACTATTCAGTACAGACTCCTCTTTAAAAGCTGAGACTTTTTTTTCTAACGATAATAGAAATTTACAGAAAGTTCTCCTGTCATCTGATTTACGGTAATGCATGTTTTAACTACAAGAGTTTAGAACCTGAGTGACCATACCAATACGGAATACGTTTCTGAGTTGTTTGATCCCAAGATGCTTCTCTTCCAGAGGGCAACTCTCAGATCTATTAGATCTGGGTACAGAGCGCTCTTCTGCCTCGAGGCATGGAGTGTTTCCCCCGGGCTGTATTTCTGTCATCTTCCCTTCTTAGAGGATATGTTTTTCTATCCTGCCCTGCCTCCTCCTGCTCTGACTGTGCAGGACCATGGCTGTGGGAATGGAGGCGAGGGTGAGCAAGGTTCTCTGTGTAGTGCTGACTGTGACATGCCCTTGGCTTCTCACTCATCCAAATGAAACCTCTGATGATGTCTTAACAATGGCAACCTGGCCTTCACCGATGCTCAGGCCTCTTGTGTTGAGATCTGCAGGACTGTGTTAAACCTAAGTGTAAATAGGGCTCCTCTGAAGTGTGAGGAGACCTTCACACACCTCAACCTGAGCCCAAATTGTAGTCATTTTGTAAGACTTTAGGAGTAGCCTGCCTCTATACTGATTCTATTCGTTTACCAAATCCGTAGGCGCTTTACCACATGCTCAGTGCTCTTCCCTTAATATGAAGTCCTTCCATTAAACCAATTCTTTTAAGGGCCTTGTCAAGTTTGTATGCTTACCGCCTCAATCCATGAAAGGACACTAAAGGCTCATGGCATTAGGTCTGGCATTCTTCATGCCCAGTTCTCCCTCGGCTGCCTTTGTGAGCAAGAGCTCCTGTTATGTGTTCGAACAACTACATTCCCTACTTGGTAACAGTTCTTTACTGATCTGAGTTCTAGAACTTACCTGACTCCTATGTGAACTTGTCTGTGGCCCATCATCTTCCAAAGAAAAGTCTCCAAATTCTGTGGCACTCTATCTTTTCTCAATGTAACGGTGTACTTTGGGATGGGTACATGATTTTGGCATGGTTACCCACACCCAGTTTGACAGACAGAAAGTGCCGTGCTTAGCTGTGTTGCTGAACAGAACTTGGTAACAATCAGTTGAACAAGCTGACGATATTAACTAATAGAAAACACTGTGTTGTACACGCTTTTAATTATGGGTCAACTTCTTTGTCCACAGCACAAGAGCAATCACTTGCTTTTGTTTGACTTATCTTGGCTGTCTAAGGAATTCAGCGAACTCTATCCACGCTCTAGAACTCTTCTGAACTGTGAGGAACCTCTGAAGTGTTCAATGTGCAGACCTGAGTTCTTAGAAAGGTCAGTGTGGACTTGGGAGTCAGGAAGCCCCAGTGTAAATGAGTTGATATCCTGGTATAACTGGTGATGACCTGGTGTAGCTCTGCTGAGAGTCCTGGTGTAGCTGTGTGGATATCTGGTTTAGCTGTGCCGAGAGCCTGGTGTGGCTGTGCCAAGGGCCTGGTGTAGGTATACAGGTACCTGGACTCTGTAAACTTTTCACCCTCAAGTGAATCTGAACTCCTCAGCACAGCTAACACCCTAACTTTGTGTTACTACTCCAAGGGAGCACTCAGTTGTCTGCCACAGCTGATCCTCAGGAATAGCTTGTGGCTAAGACCCTTGAAGCTCAACTCCCTACCTGGACTTCTTAAATTAGGATTAATTTTATTCTTGAAAGTTAAATTCGGTACAGAAATCTTTCTGTTTGCTGTCTGGTCTTTTGGGCACAGAGAGACAGGGTTTCTCTGTGTAGCCCTTATGTCCTGGAACTCGCTACAGAGTGAGTGGCCTGTACCAACTGTGTGGTGTTTATTGCTACAAATATGTAGTATTGACCTTGTGGGAATTCAACTCTCATTGGCCCATGTAATCCAAGCATAATACTGTTTTCTTAGAGATGGAGAGATGTCTCAGTGGTTAGAAAACTTGCTGGAGCTGGGCTATGGTTGCACATGCCTTTAGTCCCAGCACTTTGAAGGCAGAGGCAGGTGGATCTCTGTGAGTTCAAGGCTAGCCTGGTCAAGAGCTAGTTCCAGGACCTGCTTCAAAGCTAGAGAAACCCTGTCTCAAAAAACAAAACAAACAAACAACAGCAGCAACAACAAAAAACCCACTCACTGGCTGCTCTCCCAGAGGTCCTGGGTTTGATTCCCAGCATCTACCTGGTGGCTCACAGCCTTCTGTAACTCTAGTTCCAGAGGATCTGATGTCTTCCTCTGACTTCCACAGTCACTGAGTGTACACAAAGCATAGACATACATGCAGGCAAAACACTCCCGCATTAAAAATAAATAAATTAGCAACAAAAAAAATCATTAAATTTTTTTTTTCCTCATCAGTTAAGGTTCATTGTCCTACACAGCGTTCTGTAGGCTTGTTTGTCTTCTGTAAAATGCAGACTAATTCTTGGAATATTGCTAGGGTTAGAATGCCTGTATGGGTTGAGATTAGGAACGTATTTCTCAATATCACACAGTGGTGCAGCCTCCCCGCCTGTATGGTAGCATCTGTCCCCTGGAAGTTGGGTGAAGAATTTTTCTACAGTTACTTACTGAATGCCGTCTGTTTGCCAGATGCTCTTTTCAGTGTTGGGATAAGCAGTGAGCCAAACAGGACGTTCCCGTGGTGCCTCCATCCCTAGCTGGGAGCAGGGAGGCACAGAGAATTGGTTTTGCCTCGGGTATCCTGGGAACAGTCCCTTCAATATGGCAGATAAACCCGGTGGAGAGGGAAGGGATCAGTGTCTGCCTTGGAAAATAATGCAGCCCTGTGCTGCAGATGCTGCAGATTTCAGAAGTTCATGAAAAAACGACAGAGAAAAAGATAGGTCTTCATCAATACAAGTTGAGCTGAAAAGAAGAAAGGTTACTTTTCAGTTATACTATTTTCATTCCTCAACCTCTTGTCAGGGTCAAAAACATCCTTTCTAGAATGCCTAAACCAAGCAAATGAATTTATGCTTCATCTTGTAAAAAGTCTGCAGGAGAGGAAGCCATGCTGTAACTTTCCTAATTGTATGTGGAGCGAGTCTGACAGAGGAATCCTGATGACACCTGCTAACCGCAGCCACAGAGCCATCCTTGGGGCAGATGTACAAGTTTGCCTGTCCCCCTTTGGCTGGTGTATTAGTTCCTTTTCTCTTACTGTGATTGAACACCAGAGGATTTGGGCTCACAACCGTCCATAGTTACAGGGCATCCAGCATCCTCTTCTGGTCTCCATAGACTCTGCATGCACCTGGTGCACAGACATAGATGCATAAACAAAAAACAAGAGGTTAAGAACAACAACAAAATGCCAGCATTTTAAAAATTTCATTTTATTTACGTCGGTTGATGATTGAACAAGCATCAGGCCCCACAGGTGCTAAACATTACTCTACCAGTAAGCTGCATCCATAACCCCCAAATTTTTAGCATTTCTCAGCCTTTTGGCTAAGATCAAACGAAGAGTTTGTTTTCTGTACTCGAGAGCAATGGTTTCGAATGCTCGGCTCTCATTAGTATGTTTTTGCAGATTATTGGCAACGTTTCTTGTTGCTGAGAGCAAATGCCAGATAAGAAGCACATTAAAAAGAGTTTATTTTAGTTCGAGGAGAGATAGCCCAGGGAAGACGCAGGCCCGGGAGGTGACTGGTCATGTTGTGTCTGCAGTCAGAAGGGAGAGGGAGGGAGGAAAGAAGGGGGAAGGAAGAGGAGAGAGAGAACTAGTGATGGCCCAACTGACTTTCTCATTATTCAGTCTGGGGACCTCAGTTCATGTGGTGGGGTCCTCAGAGTGGGTCTTGCCTCCTCAGTTCTGGAAATACTGTCACAGATACACCCAGAATCTTGTTTCCAAAGTGATTCAAAATGCAGTCCTGTTGACAATGGAGAGTAACCTTAGCGGCTGACATCAAATAGTACTCGGCTGTTGCTTCTTCTAGGGGTATGGCAGTGGTCTAATTCCTTGTTGCTGAGTGCCCAGAATCATATTTGGAGGTTTTGAAAAATTTTGAAAAATGGAGATCATCAACCCCCAGGTCCTGTTATTTCTGAGGCAAAGCCAAAAAATATGTTAGCGTGGCCTTGCTGGGTTCCCGAAGATCCAGACTCTCTTTCCAGCCAAGTTCACTTGCCTACTGCTTGTAAACATAATAGTCCCTCCCTTCTGCATATACCATCCCTTCTGTCTCAGATGAGCCCACTCTTAGCTAACCGGACTCCTCTTCATCCTTCAGATCTGAGTTGAGAAAGTCTTTCTTCCCAGAAGACTTCTGAACTTTCCAGACAAGTTGTGTCCTTGGCTTTGTGTTTCTAAAGCCCTGAACTTTTGGTTACTCAAATAATATCTTCGTGTGATAGAAAATTATTTAGTTTCTCAACTATTCTGTAGACTCTCTGAAACACAGGACTAAGGCTGGCTTGTTCACCTGGCCATCATGGGCAGATGCCTAAATGAAGGTTAAATACCTTTTCTAAATGAGATGGTTGGGGGCCATTTAATTCTCAAGGTACACACACCATACACTGCTTACTGTCCTAGACGGCGCACTGTGTACAAGTGATGATCAGGGATCCTTAGTCAATCAGAGGAATGAAATTCCTTTAGAGTTTTTATGGAACAGGTACCAACACATTCATGGGTTTAAATTCTTAGGTGTCAGCAGGCAGACTCGTTTCTCAAGGTCCAGACTCTGACAATCTGAAGACCCGAGCTTTCAATACCATGTGAGCCTAAACCTTACATGGTTAAGGACTTTAAAATGTTTGGGAAGTATTTCACATTCTTTAGATCTTGCAAGTAATTATAAACACAGCCCGTTTTGGTCATGGCAATACCTTTTTCTTAAATATTTTATGAATTTTTCTTTTAAATACATCTTTGGAAAGAACACTCTTTTTGGAGATGATAAAGATTTCACACGATGCTTGAGATGGTCAGACCTAAACATATAATGCATGCAAGCAATGCTGAACAAATTTAGCAGTCTATATTTACATGGCACAGGAGGTGTTGGGGAAGTTTATGTGATTGATATTTTAAAATTAAAAATAAATTAAGAAAAATTGCAAAATAAGTCTATACTTGCCTAGCTGTCAAAAATAAAGTAAATTCATATTACTCTTAGAGTGTGTATTAGTGCCTACGGTGTGAAGCACACTGAAAACACAGTATCAGGATGAATACTATGTGGTAAGAAGAAGAGAAACTTCTAAGGTTGCTTTTTTACCCTTCAATCTAAGAATGTTAAATAAGTTTAGAATACAGGGCTTTCCCAAAAAGATTAAGCCTACACCTTACTTTGTTGTATTTATAGTAGGTATGTTCACTGAAATGTAAAAACACCCAGAATACTCAAAACGGAAAATTAAAAATAGAGGGGGGAAAAAGCCATCCATGTATCTGATACGTATGTTTTTCAGCCCCCCAAAAATTTTGTTTTTGTTGTTTATCGAGACCTGGCCGTAACAGTCCTGGCTATCCTGCATTTCACTCTGTAGACCAGGCTGGCCTACCTCTGCTTCCCGCGTGCTGGGATCATTAAAGACATGCATCCATACCATGCGGCTAAAACAAAATAAAACAAACAATTAGCAACTCATTTCCTTTGAATATTTAAATATAGAAATAACCAAAACAGAAAAAATAGTGGCAGAATGAATGTGATCATATCTCATGGTATTTATGTGTGAAATTCCCAATTTAAAAAAAGGAAGAAAGAAAATTACAGAAAAAGGCTAATATTGTTGGAGATTTATACTAGGAGTCTAGGCTTCTAGCTCAGAGTGTTTGGGGGATGGGAGAATGGAAGATTCATCCCAGGGCTTTGGATGCTGGGCAGACAACTCCCTGTGTCCCCAGCTAACATCCTGTCGGTTTGGATTCTTAGCTTCTGTAGGAGCCCAAGTACATACACCATTCTGAATTCGAAGATAAATTAGTAAAATGACACTAGCCAGCGGTGTCATCTTAATTGTATTTGAGGGTGAATTCTCTCAATTCTGAAACTGATTATTTTGCAAGCCACAATTCTTGATATAAGAAAAAAAAGTGAAATAGTTTTCTGATCTGGAATATATACTACCAAATGAGTCAATCTTCTTACAAACAAACAAACTGAAACCCTTGTTGATTATGAGGTCAGAGTCCCTGACTCAGTGCTGTTAGGGAGTGTGTTACATGCACTGAGTTCCTAAGAGGGAAACTCACTTGTAAGGGATGACGGATAAGTAACTTCCTGACGCTTAGAATTCCATTGTCCTTGGATGAGCAAGAGTCCTGTAATGACCTTCCAATCTTCCCTTTCCTTCGGCCACAAAGGAATGGGTGTGTTGTCTGGTGGGGTGTACCTCAGAATTCTCTTGACCTAAAAGGAATGGATGTAGAAACCTCCACTACCAGCAAGGAGAAGGGGAGAAAAAAAATGTCAGGGTTAAGCATTAAATCAACAGCGAGTGTGCAGCTGGGAGAAGGTCACCCCGAGTAAATAATCAGCCCGCGTTCAACTGTACCTGGACTGAGCAGCTTTTCCATTGCCAAACATAAACCAGTAACTAGGCAACCGTGACTCGCACACTCTGAACACTTCACGGCGATGAAATGGCCAACCCCCACGCTTCCAGGAAATGCCCTTTTCAGTCGCCGGGGACCAGGGTGAACACTCACGCTGCACTCAGGTGACCCTTAGCTTGTTGATGGGCAGGGTTTGAGAGGTGTCACCGTAGGACAAACACAGATGTGCCTGCGAAGGAAGGGTTAAGGTGGGAAAAGTTGCGCGGTGAGCCGGTCTTTCCACGGAGTGACTCACGGGCAACGAAATCCTTTGCCTTTAGGGAGGGAAAATGGCACATTCCTAATTACTAACCCAGCTTAGTGGCTGAGAGAGGTTCTAGATCCAGATTGCCCGTCACTCTGCTAGACTTCTGAGTTTGGCTTGTGGTTTCTCAGAGGTGGACAGTGCCTCCTGCACAAAGTGGCTGTGCGTATTGAGGCCACTAGGTAGGAAGAAGTAGGATCATTAAGCAGAGCTTTTTCTGTGTGCTCTGGAAAAGGGGCCGCTGACCCCCAGGGATGCCCCACTGAATTAGGAAGAAAGGCGAGGAGAAAAGACACGGATAAACGAGACTGTTCTCAACATGTTAAAATATGTTGAGCTTTTGAGAACTCTGAATACAGAAATTGTAACTACACATGTCAGGAAACTAAGGGCCTCCAGAATTCCATACTTTGGAGATGGGATGATGAAAAGCCCCTTTAGCATTGCACCATGAGAATGTGTTTGTGACTCTTAAGATTGCCCTAGCACACGGCAGGAAGAAATTGGCTTTTGTTTTTATACATTATACACTATGCCACATCATGCTTTTTTTTTTTTTTTTTGGAAGGATTTATGACGAAAACTGTAAGGACACAAAGTAGTCCTCAGGAAGTCACAGGAAATTCTGGGAGCTTCTATCAGACAGATATGCAAATAAGCAAACCTGTGACTGACTCAAAGTACTTAAGGGTTTTGGCAAAATGCAGCAGCCACTGTAGGTCCGGAGTGGAGGTTCTTGGCTAGAGGCCAGCCCTGTCGCATTGTGACAAGACCTGGACTCTCTCAGCTTGGAACTGGTGGAAGAGAGAGCCCTGAGTAAGTAGTGAAGGGGGCCATCTTGTGGGCCTGTGGACAGGTCTGTAGGATCATGGAGAAGGTGTGGAAGCCAGTGGCAGCACCGTCCCACTTGACCTCTTTAGAGGTCTGTCCGACTTCTTGAATTTCGCTTTTAGAGGGAGTCAGTTGTTAGGGAATCCTGTGGGGTCAGTGTGACTCATCTTGGGTCAGGAGGTCAGCTGGACCTGAAGGTGTTCTGTGTCTGCGGACCTGTAGGAGCTGTGACATTTAAAAGCGGAATGAGGAAGGGTAGGTGGTACTTCCTTCCCACTGAACTTGCTGCCTGATTCTGTCAGGTCTGGGTGGGGCTGATAAGCAAGTAAAAATTTCTTAGGGAAGTGGTAGAACTCAAAGTCCATCAAGGAACTGGCTTCCGGAACTGCCTCCAAGCCAGTCTTTATTAGTTAAATTAACCAGAAACCTTGTTCAACTGTACGCCATAAGCCACCTTTGTCGGGTGACTTCTGCCGGGCTCCTAGCCTTGGCGGGTTCGAACGTTCCGGTGCAGGAGCAGGAGGATTAGAATTATTAGGCAAAAGAGAACACAGATATATAGGAGAAATAAGAAACATAGGATAGTATTGAGAGGGACATCCAGTGAATACTGAAAGTAGCCTACATTTAATTTCCATTTGCTTAAATATCCCAACCCTGAAAGGTAGGAGTAAGATACAAGGAATGAACAGACCGGTTGAAGGACTAGGGGCTGCATTCTTCCTGAAACATTCTGTTCCCAGAACAAGACAAAAGATGCTCACACTCTAGACCCAAAGATTCTGCAGGCAAACCACTCCCTGCGTGGAATCCATAGTTTTCTCCCTAAGGGAGTAGGAACCTACCTGGATCCTTAGACTTTTGTTGAGGTAGCAACAGATCTCCATCTTAATACCTGAAATACCAGGATATTAGCCACACCTGTTGACCATAACCTTGAGCGAGTAGAACTCTCTGACTTGTTACTTGAACTGTTGACAGTAACCTCGAAGGAACAGAGAAGTTCCAACTCTCTGACCTTTAGTCAAGACTGGACCCACACCTGTGGGCCCGGTCAACTGTGTGACACAGAAGCACATTCCTTTTTGTTAACTATGAAGGCTTTTTTTCTTTCTGTTTTGTTTTGAGACAGCGTCTCACCTAGCCCAGGCTGGCCTTGAACTCCCAACCTTCCTGTCTCACTTCCCAAGTGCTAGAATTAGAGGCAGATGATTGAAAAGACAAATTAGCCAGAATCACACAAATATCACACATTTTCTCTCACATGGATTCTAGGTTTTATATACATGAATACATGGATGGATGTTATTTTGCTGATAAAGACATCTTTATATTGTGCTGCGTGCATATAATATATGTAATATTTATGCATATAATATGCTATACATATTTATAATAACTACTACAGTATGTGATTCAGGTGCATGTGTGTTGTGTGTGCGCGCACATGTGCATGAATGCTATATCTAGGTTATAGTATGCCATCCATCGGGAAAAAAGTCAAATATAGGATGGAAAATTATATTCTCGTTTGATAAAGTCTACCGCTAAGCATTCGTGCTAGTGGATGGCCTTTGTAAATCAAGGGTTGCAGGGCAGCATCTGGGGTTTAACTGAGTAGTGGAACCCATGCCTACTGTGCACAGGCCGTGGGTTTGCTCCCCAGCTCTGGAAGGTTACTTGAAATATTTCATTTTCCAATTTTAAATACTTGCTGTTACGTTTTCTACATTCCTGTGCTACACGTGTTCTCTGACTACCATACATGTCAAGTAAAGAGGCTGTACTAAATGAAAAAACTACTGAATGACATAGCCTGGCTTGGTCATGGTTCGCCCGCTGTCAGCTGAGATCAGGATGCCGGTGTGTAATGTCTGACGAGATTTCAGATACCTCTCCTGAGACAGAAGTGACAGACTTCCCTACCAGCTGTTGCAGAATGGAAGCTGAAGGCTTGCATGCAAAGTGAGGCCGCTTGTTAGGTGTGCCACCCAAGTGATACTAAAAAAGCTGTCTTAGGCAAACCACAAGTAACAAGTTCAAGGCCAGGGCTATCTGAGCCTCTGTCTCACGCTGCCTTTGAGCACACACACTGAAAGGACATCAGAGTCAGCCCAAGATACCCCAAGACCAAGTTCCCAGCACTAAGGAGATTTCTTTGCCCCAGAAGGACATTGGCAGAGATAAGGGACAGACAGGAGATGGAGAAACAGAAACAAAGGAATGAGGGAGAGGGGAAAAGGGATATTTGCCCTGAAGGGGCGAAGGACTGTCTCTGGATAGGGAGGCGGCAGATGTGGCCAATAGGCAAATGGTGGTTTATGAAGGAAGAGGGGAACCCCATGTTAGGATGTGGTGTTTAATTTTTATTGGGCATGGTAATTAGGGTAGCCAAAGGGGGACTTCTGATTGATGGGCTTCAATACTTTGATAGCTGGACAATGGTAGTCAACCTTAGGGAAAGTGCTCAAATAAGGGACTACTTTTTTGGTTTTTCGAGACAGGGTTTCTCTGTAGCTTTGGTGCCTGTCCTGGAACTAGCTCTTGTAGACTAGGCTCACAGAGATCCTCCTGCCTCTGCCTCCCGAGTGCTGGGATTAAAGGCGTGCACCACCAGCGCCCGGCCTTTTGGCGGCTAACTTTAGGGAAGTAATCAAACAGTTTAGTCTGGTAGATGGGACAGGGGAAGGGCAAGGTCAGCTGGAGCCTTTTCGCCTTGCTCGAGTTGGCTAGAACCACTCACACACATTCCAGCCTAGTTTTGTTAAGCTAAAGTCATTTAAGCAAGGTGCAGTGATTTATGTCTATAGTTTCAACTACTTGAGAAACTGAGTTAGGTAAGAGGATTGCTTGAGGTCAGGAATGTGAGCTTGTCTTGGCAGCATAGTGAGATTTCCTAATTAAAAAAAAAGATTTGGTAGAGAGACTAGAACATATTATTAATAAATTTCAGGAGCTAGAGAGATGCCTAGGGATGATCTAGAGATGCCTAGTTAGAGACTGGAAAGGAAGGTGGAGGTCAGATCGTGAAGAGCCTTGTGCACAATTCTAGGAAATGCTGGAAGAAAAAAAAAAACAATATTATCCTCCCAAGAAGCAGTCTTGAGGAAAATGATGACCAGCCTGGGGGTTATTATTAAGGACGTAATGTCCACTCTGGTGAGATTAGCATAAATAAAAGCTTCCAGCTGGCTTAAGAGATTGCTTTAAAAGAAACTAATAGAGTTCACTATATTATGCTCGGTTTCCTTTATGTTTACATCTTCTTATTTTTCCCGTAGTCAAAATAAGCAGTGACCTTTTGGGCCAAAGGAAGCCGTTAGAGGGATTTAAAGAGGACACAAAACCAGGAGATGGGCTGGGAGCTCCGAAGTAGACTGCCTTAGATATCTTGATGGCTGCTGGTGGAGCTTGAGTTTCTGCTTGATCAAGGGCATCTGTGCCTTCTGTCTCCATGAACTGCTCTCTGCTGTCTGCCCCGCTATCAATACTTCACTGTACAAAGAACCAGCGGTGCCCGGTGCTCAATGACCATAGCAGCTTGTTTCCCAAGTGTCCCTTCAGTAGATGCTGTGTTTGCACTTTCTCTGGCCCTCTGGAAGCAGGAACTGGGGAACAGCTTCTGAGCGGAATTCAGCTTGAGAGAGAAGCAGCACCCGGATAGTGGGGAGGTGAAAAATGCCAGGATTCAGAGTGAGCTTTGGTGAGCTTGGGAGGGGTGTGAAGCTGAGGCAGTAGCCTCACGTTTATTTACTCTGAGAAGTTAGGTAGATGGTAAAATTTACTCTGGAATAAAGTAAGGAAGAAGATACATTCCTAGTGGGCGGAAATGGCAGTGTGGTTTGGGGCAGGAGTTGGTAAGCCTTTGCATTCTCAGCGCTCTCAGCTCTTGGGTGGACATCACAGTTCTCAGCCCTCTAAGCATGATGTCAAGGTGCTTTTTAGCCATGTTATGCATGTGTGAACCGGCTACATGCCAACAGCTATCCGTGTCTGGTGCTCAGTGCTCACTGCATACAGATGGAGCTGCTTTTGTCAGTTTAGGTAGTGATGTAAAACGTGCTCT